CCCTGGGGCCTCCCATACTCAGGCAGAAACCTCTGGTTCTGATCACATGAGAGTTAAGCAGCCTTTGCCAAAAGTTCTTTTACACTAGGTGTGGAGCGGGCATCAGCACTCACACTGATCTCTTGACTTTGCTACACTTGCCACGTCTTGTTTCCTTTTTATTAAAATAAATACATTAAAAGTACATATGAAATTGGTTGTGTTCTGACTGTGCCAAGCATAGATTCTATGCCACGGTCTTTACCTTTGGGCACGTCAGTTCATTTGACCCGATAGAGTAGGTTAAATGCTTCTGCTGTGCTGGAATACAACTCCAGGAGACAGGAAAGCAGGCTTTGTCGGGTTTTGAGTCTCAAGCCCGCTGTCACTTTAGCACTTAGGAAGATACCCATGTGAGAACCAGCCCTGCCACACTCTTTAAAGTGGCTGATGCCACCACCACCCCCACTTAGAAAGAAGGAAACCTGAGATTTAGAGAGGAGCTGTGACCCACTTCCCCGGAGGATGCTTCTGTTATGTAAATGGCAGATGAGCCGCCAAAGCACATTCTAGAGCACTGTCCTGCTTGGTTCTCACCCAGCGTTCTGTGAAGTTTCATCTGCTTTAATGTCAAGGCTGAATCTGAGAAGGAAAAATAAAACAGTTCCTTTTATTTCAAGGGCAAGAATAATAAACCAGAGTATTGGGGGGCGGGGAATAGGGAATGCAGTCAGTCCGAAGCCAAACGGTAAAGTCAAGTCTCGGGTTTCTCCTCCCATCAGGCGTTGAGGGTCCTTCCACTCGGTCCAACAGGCTTTTCTGTGTTACCATCAGTTAGCACCCCGTAAACATCAAGGTCACCCGGTCTGGGCCCCTCCCATTAAAACGTGCCAGAGCTCACGAGCCAGCTTGTAAAGGGCCTGTGGTGGGGGCGGGGGTGCCCAGTCACCAGGCAGCCCTAGACAATAGGGAAATGTGGCCAGCAAGAAAGTGGCGTGTTTAGATGATGGGACCAAACTCTGCATGCAAAGAACAAGAGGCAGGGTCATCCCGGGAACTCTGCCCGGAAGATTCCATGAACACCCAGGGTTAAACTCGGGCAGAACAAAGGAAAACAAAACAATGGGGCCAGAAGTGGGCAGGAGAGGTCTGCTGGACCTTCGAGGAAGAGCTCTCCTGGGTACCCGTCTTGCTTATTCTGAGGCTCCATTTAAAGAACTGTCTGCTTTGCCGAACTGCATGGTTCCAAGGATGCCTGGACCTTACCAAGCGTCCGTGGACTCCGTAGCTCTCCGGAGCCACGTCTCTAAGAAGGACAGTAACATGGTGTTCTCACAACGTTGCTGTAAGAATTAGTGAGAAACCGCATATGAAATGTGCTTCGGGAGGTGTAAAACCTGATAGAAGTGTTAAATCAGAAACGTCTTCCCCCCCACCCCCCGCATTACCTCATTTGATCTAATAGCAGGCCCGTGAGGGTAGTGAAGTGAAAGTTATCACCCCTATTTTACAGAGATGCAAAGTGAGGCTTAATGGGTTGTGTAATACAGTGCATCTTATGCAGTCCATAAGTGACAAATCCATGGGCAAGTCCCAGGTCTGCCTCCTCCTTAGAACCATGGCTTTAACCCATGGTAGCTAAACAAAAAGGTATAGGTATTAATAATGGCTGTGTATTAGTACATACGCTATAAGCAAATATATTTACTATTTGGAATGTTTATATATTTAGAATGCATATGTTGACTATTTAGAATCAGTTTGTGTCTTATGTGGACTGTGCTTTTCTGGGACAGAGGTTGGATCTTACTGGCCTGTGCGTTTCTAGCACTAGACACAGCTCGGGCTCAGGGCTCACTAGATGTAAATCAGTAGGGACTCCCTGACACCTAGATCAGGCACTATGGCGCCTCTGCAGTGTGGCTCTCCGCATTCCCTTTACACAGAGGAAAGAAAGGACACTCAGAGCAGCTGAGCAGCTCAGCAGGCTGGCAGTGAGCACTGCCAGGTTACTAAGTCTGAGGTGAAGCCCATGTCCTGTGTCCATAACTTCTGCTTCTGGAGTTTCGATCAACTGTAGACTGGAAACAAAAACTTCGTCTATACTGAGTATAGATTTTTTTTCTTGCATCTGTTCCCTAAAGAGTATAGCAAACAACTATAAACACAGTTGTTTGGCCCTGACAACTCAGTCTAGCAATGATTTAAAGTATGGAGGAGGTTATATGTCCATTAAATGCAAGTGCAGGGCAAAGCCTCACTCTCTGCCCTTGGCCCTTCTGCCTCCCTGTGCCTTGCTGCCCCAAACCCCACAGCTTCGGCTGCCAGTCTCCTGGTTCACACCTCCGAGGACAGAAGCGCTATTTGCTGTTGGCTTTCACACCATCAACTCCCACTTGGAAAAAAGTGCTGGGCAAACCCAAATGAATGCCGGGTTATTCTTCTCTCCCAGGGTGCTCAACCAGCCCCCAGAGTCACCAGGAGGTCACCGCCCTTTAAGTGTGTATAAACAGAAGGAAGTGTCAGAGATGTGACCCAACCCATGACCCACAGGGGTCTGGGGCCTGAAACTTGTTGCTCTCTGTCCTTGGGCAAGCCCAAGATGTTGTCTGAGGGGGGGTGAACCCTGGAGAGCTGCTGGATGTGGGACACCTAGTGCCACGGTTCCATCTTCAGACCCAGAGACGCAGACAGACAGGCTTGCTGGACATTGAGCCAGGCTGAGTGGTACACACAGGAACTCACCACCCTCAGGCACCTGTCACGTGGGGCATCTCCATCTGTCTGTTATTTAACAAGTATCAGTTCAGGAACAGAGGTGACCAGAGGGTGGAGCCCAAGCCCTGGGCTGCTGCGGATCTGGCTGTGACACGGAGAAGCACCCAAAAGTGTAGTCTGGGGTGGGGAGAAGCAAACGCCTAGCCACAGATGAATTACAGGTGAGAAGAGAAGCCAGGACCTTGGGCCAGGCCTTCTACTGTGGTTGTATTGTGTAACATGGAGGATACTGTGGCACAGACTATGTCTTGGAACCCAGCGGGACTTTAGACATCTTCAGGTTCCCCCAGAAGAAGATGAGGAAGCTGACACCAAGAGACAGGGACAAAGTGACACCCAGGTCCCAAGATGAGTGACTAAGCAGGCAAGGATCTCACAAGCCTCTCAGAATGCCTAGGGGAAGTGGGCTGCCCTGACCTCCATCTTGATTTCCTCGACCCTCTGTTCTGCCCTGAGCACTCACGAGGGTCTGGAGAAGAGCAGAGGGCTGTTTTGTAGCAAGGCTTCACCGCACAGTCCTTCCAAACCAAAAGCTGTGGCTCGGTGGACCCAAGGGACCTCCTTCCATATCCTACAGCTCAGAAGCTCCTGGGCCTGGCACGATCCTGGTGCCTGGCTCCATGTCACAACTGCTTCCGCCCCTCTTCAGCAGCTCCCCAGGCCTGGACAGCAGAGAGATACCATGTGTACTGCATCTAACCACAACCTCTGTTCTGCGGTGGCAGCTTGGCAAGATAGCTGTGTAGAAACACAACATAAATAGCAGCTCTTATTGTGCTTTTTAAATTTCCCAGCACTTTGTTTATTGTATTCTAGGTTGATGGAAAAAAAAAATGTCAGAACCGCTGAAATCCAATTTTATTTTCCTTTGTGTGTGTGTGTGTGTGTGTGTACATGTGTGTGTATACACATGTGTGTGCACATGGGAGTCCATGCTCTGTCACCCTCTACCCTATGTATTCTTCTGAGGAGAGCATCTCTCCCTAGACCTGAAGCTCACCTGCTGGACCAGGCTGACTGGCTGGGAGACCCGGGGGCTGCAGACTTGTAGCCACGCCCAGCTTCTCTGTGGGTACAGAGGTTATAAACTGATGTTATACCTATGCTGGTGCAGCAAACACTGAGCCACCCCCAGCCCTTGTCCTTCCCTTTTGTCGAAGAACCTAGAATATTAGCAGCTTCTTAGCACTGCAGTGCCTCTAGAAAGGGAGAAATGGGTGGAGACAGCTTGACGCAGGTGCCATTTAACCTGGTTGCAAAGAAATTTAAAATTGTTGGGCTTTTCACACACAGGGAAGACTGTTGGGTCATGGGGCACGAGTTGATCAAGTCTAGTCCTCCATCAGAGCCCTGGAGAAGATCACCTGGTGTGTGTGTGTGTGTGTGTGTGTGTGTGTGTGTGTGTGTGCGCGCGCATGCGCGCCTGTTCATGAGCTACACAAATTTCCTAAAAAGCAAACCTTTTGGTCTGAGATTTTCAGTAAGCATGAGGCAGCTGCTGGCTTGGAGCCCCAGGGACTTGTGAAATGGGCCCTGTGTGTTTTGCACCCACACAGAGCAGCCTTTGTGAAGGACAAGGCAGCCCCTCTCTGGCCGTGAAGTGTCCCCCTCCCCCGCTGTTTACTTTGGACCAGAGAGCTCATTTCAGTGGTGCCTGAAGCTGTGGGGAGCATCAAGCCCAAGGACAGAAAATAAACCCAGTTTCGCAGGGCAAACCTAGATCTGGGGCAACCCTGAAAACAGAAGCATGAACCAGCCACCCCTACCCCTACTCTCTCCCCCTCCCTCCCTTCCTCCCACTCTGTCTGCACTGGAGCAGAGGCTGTAAAGACAATCTTCATGGGGTCCTCGCCAGGCCCACAAGCGCCTCATTTGGTGACAGGGACGCATCCCCACGTTGTCTTCACCCATAGCTGATTTTTAATTAAATGTGACTTTTCCTCGCATCTGTTCAGAAGGCCGGTCCCCTTTGGAAGTGGCCAGCACAAAAGCAGAGTGGTGATAGGGAAAAGCAAACAGAGCAGAGCTACACAATCCCCCTATTCTGGTGAAGAAGCCAGTGCTGGCGGGCCTCTGCCAAAGGCCCATGGAGATTACTCTACCGAGCCTCTGGAATCCCCACTGCTCACAGAGCCTAACTAGGTGGCCAAGGGTGACCCCTGTTCCCAGCAACAACTGGCTCAATAAGCTTTTGTTCTCTCTCCTCCCACCCCTGCCCCTTTGCCCCTCTTTCTCGCCCACAGAGATCTGTGCTGCTGACTGCGGTGGCCACGGCGTCTGCGTAGGAGGCACCTGCCGCTGTGAGGATGGCTGGATGGGGGCCGCATGCGACCAACGGGCCTGCCACCCTCGCTGTGCGGAACATGGGACCTGCAGGGATGGCAAGTGTGAATGCAGCCCCGGCTGGAACGGCGAACACTGCACCATCGGTATGGCAAAGGTCTCAGGGCATTCTGGTTGCTCTGAAAGACACTTGGGGGCCAGCCCGGGCCTCCACTGCATGTGGATAGAGGCCCAAAGTCCTTTCATCTGACGGCATTATGACTGGCTTCTCCTAGACATCAGCTGGGTTTAAGCACACCATCTGTCATTTTCCACACACGTCCTCCCCCAGATGCATTCCCCACATGACATCTAGCTGGTTAGCAGGTCTTGCTCTTGAGCCCTTCCCGAGCTAAATGTGACATTGCTCTTTGCCCAGAGATGAGTCAAGTGGCAGCTATAGGCAAGGGCCACTGCCCCGCTGAATCTCAATTTCCTCACCTATAGGATGGGGAGAATAAGGCAAGCAAAGAGCTTGGCACAGGCTGGCGCACGGTGGAGTGCCCCAAACATGTGGCCGTCGTTAGCAGTTTTATCATATGGCTGCACGGCTCCTTGTAGTATCCAAGGCTCCCGAAGAGGCCTCTAATCCCGGCAAAAACTCTTCTCCAGGTCCCTAGGCCACATCTGCATTTCTCTTTCCCCTGCCCCAGGCTTCCATCCTGTCTGCATCTGTCTCCTTTCTCCTCTCTGGGGGCTGCTCCGCACCAGGCCCTGCTGAAGCAGCACTGTCGGCCGCTTTCAAAACAAGCTGATCACTTCTTCCCGTCTCTCTGCCTTTCCTGCTGGCTTTGTTGATTTTAAACACAGCCAGACGTTTCGCTTGGTTTATTATCCTGGAATGAACACTCACCAAAAGCTCTTTATTGGATCGACTGCTTTGTGTACGCGTTTTAACTTCTTCCCTTTCCTCTCTCTCTCTTTTTTTTAAGAAAGGGTTTGTGATCAGATGGTAAGCACATGGCTTTTATAAGGCAGGATTCCAGGTGCCTCTCAGTGCAGAAAGTGACCCTTTGGGTCTCATAGAAATGGCAAGAAAAGCCCTAACTTTTGAGAGAGAAAGGGATTTTAAGCAAATTGTGTACCTTGTATCCAGTCTTTTTGTTTTGCCATTACTTCATATCCTCAGTCGTCTGCAACATCCCCAAGTTAATAAACAGCTATGGAACATGTTCTATCTATTAACAATAATGGCTCCTAATTTTTGAGTATTTATGATGTGCCAAGCACTGTGCCTAAGGCTCTAACTGCATTATTTTACACTTCTAACAATGCAAAGAGTTATGGATTATTTTCTCTTTCTCGGGGACCTGGAAGTAAAGGGCGTATAACCTTTGAAAACAAGAATTAGAAGCTTGATTTTTTTCCCTTCCCAGCTGTTCGCCCTACGGTCCTTTGCAGCTGGTTCCCAGGTGTCCACCGGGCATCCAGCTCAGGCCCTGCCTAGAACAGGGCCCTGTTTATCCAGTCAGGCTCGGAGTCCCCCCGATTTTGCCTCACCCCATGCTCCTCATAGATCCCTTCGTATTGGTGACGTGGCTTTCTCTTCCGCACAGCAGACTGTGCCGTCCCATCTCATTGCAAGCTGCTTGACGACTTCTGTAAGGTTACCCCATCTCAGGTCTGTCTCGGAATTCTTAGTGAGCCTGGTCATCTCAGAGCCTCTGCTTTCCTCTCTCCTTTACTCCGAGGACAGCCTAAACTTTCAGTCTCTTAACCTGGAAGTTCATTCCCATTTCAAGAAAGAATCAGGTTCTAGAGAATGGCTCAGCTGGTAAGCTGCTTGCCTTGCCGGCGTTAGGGCCTGAGTTCAAACCCCAGAATCCATGTCGAAGCCAGGTGTGGTGGCTGATGCTCGTAATCCCAGCGCCAGAATGGTGCCGGCAATAGGATCTCAGTGGCTAATGGGTGTAGCCTAACTGGTGAGCCCTAGGCCAACAAAAGACCCAATCTCAAATAAGATGGGTGGTGTTCCTTAAGACTCTTCTATGGCCTCCATGCTGTGCACGAGCGTGAGCACGCACACACACACACACTTTTGTTTTTGATTTTTTTTTTGAGATAGACACACACATATACACACACACTTTTGCTTTTCTTTTTGATTTGTTTGGTTTTTGAGATAGATACACGTGTGTACACACACACACACACACACACTTTTGCTTTTGTTTTATTGAGATAGGGTCTCACTTTGTAGCCTTGGCTGTCCTGAAACTCACTATGTGGACCAGGCTGGCTCCCAAAATTCCAGCAATCCACTTGCCTCTGCCTCCCGAGTACAGGGATTAAAAGTGCACCACCACACTCTGCTCACACATACATTTTAGAAAAAACAAACCATCAGAACCCAAGGAAAACACATTTTCCATCTCTTGCTTATGAAGTTCTGAGTTTGCTTTCCCAAATTCCAAGAGGTAACTGCCCTTTATAAAACAAGACCTCCCGCCCATGCCAAATGACAGCAAGGAGGGAAATTCTCCCTTGGTCTCGCTGCAGAGGATTGGTGTCAAGGCTTGTAGGCAGGCTGGACCACATCTGCCATAGCTATTCATCAGACCAGCTTTCAGAAGATCTCATTTGTTTTGGTGCCAAGAAGCTCTACTGTCCTTTCTACCTCCCCTGCTTGCCCCATTGTTTCCCTTTAAGAACAGCTTCTTCTTTGATTGCAGATGGTTTTTCCTTTTAGATAAGAAATACATCAAGGTAAATATGCATAGCTGAAGAGGAAGGTTGACAGTCATAAATATCAAAAATAAGAAAAATGCCACAGGACACAGAGGAGGTCACGGGCGAGTCACAGTGGCTCAGATGAAAGGACTTGGGCTCGGGATTCTATTCTCTCATTGTGTGGTGAGCGTTTCCTTTGTCCCTGTGTAATTTCCCTGCATGGCTCCCTTCTGTTTTTGGGTCTCTGCTGTGGCCAGCTGCATCCCTGTGAGAAACCCAGTACCTCATGCTGAAGTAACACCTCAGTAACCGTGCAGGATAGAAGGGGTTAGGGGTTCAGCTTAGACAATGTTGAGTACTCCCTCCTTGCTGAAGTGGTAGGAAGGAGAAATCCCCCCCTTTTGTATCCCTGTGAGCATCACTTGTAGGAAAGAGGGTGCCGACATGAGAGACATGCCAAGCGTTCAATTCTCTCCCACCATCAGTCCTGAAGCTAGAACCTACCCTGCAATCCAGTTCTCTCCCAACCAGAGCAGATGCTAGTACCCTTGATGCCGATTCAAAGACCTCTGTGCTGTGGAAGGGATCAGACTCAGGTTCTGTTTATCTAAACATCGCTACCCTCCGCAAACAGGAAGGAATAATGTGTTTACCTTACAGCAGGAAGGAAGTAGTACATAAAGACTGAGGAAACTCTGGGCTCTTTCAGCCAAGTCCCCAGCAGAAGAAGTGTTGTCCCTCAGGGACACTTCCCATTGCAGATTGTTATAGTAGACATCACACACCTTCCTTTAGAGATTTGGTTCCCCCACCCTCACCCTCCCTGGATCTTTCAAGGAAGCTGCTTGTTTTATCTCCAAAGAGATTGGTTTTCCAAATAAGAGAAAACACGTCAATGGCATCTTCTTTAATGGCAATATTGTTTTCACTCTCGTGAGAATGCCCCATGGAGCCCTTCCCCGGCCCATGCCTTAGGTGAGGAATCACCCTCTCTCGGCACCTAGTGGATATGTCTCTGGTGAAATTGCCACAGGAAAATCACATGATTGTCCGGGACAGTTTCTCTCTCAACGCTCACAGAATGAGCAGCTGGATGATGTCACTGGTGATGATGGAATTCCAGCCCTCTCCTCCACCTCCCATCACCCCAGAAGAATTTCACCTGAAACTGTCCCCCACCAAAGAAAACAATTTTGTTTTGCTCCCTCAATACGAATGCTTTCATTTGCGTCTGTGGGAGTCATTTGCGTATATGGAGCTACGGTTCCCAGTCTAGAAGCTAAGGTAAGATGGATTGACTTGGCTCTGTTCCTCAAGTGTGTGGTTCATACAACAATCATCAGAAGTGCGATTTCAGATGTCTGTTCCAGGAATGTTATGGGTCCCGCCAGTCCAAGACTTGACCTCCAGTTTCTTAAGAAAAGTTGAAAATCATTGTTAAATTTAAGGTGTTTAATTTTTCCCCGTCTTTGAAAACACGTACATTTTGGATCAATTCTACGGTGATTATTTTATTCACCTCAGCGCCCCCTCATCTACAAAACCTCAGAACACGTGTGGGAAATGCCAGCTTCTGATCTCACTTATAAAATCCAACCTTGACCCCAAAGCTGTGATGGCAGGAGATGCCAGACATTCAGAATTATTTATTTGAACTTCGGGAGAGCCGTCCAATCACATAAACCCCGATTCTTAAACAAAAGCCTCTTCTGGGAGGAAAGACCAAAATAACACTCTGGTGACGCAATCATCTGAGGGAGCAAAACCAGACTTCATAATGAAGGGGAATTTTCAAGAAAGCCGCAGAATCTTCTAGAGTACCTTGTCCACTTTCAAATGGTAGCTCTCCAGTTTCACCTTGTAATCAGATTTGTCCTTCCACAAGAGCTCAGAAGCCGCTCAGGCGGTGTCAGCACCCGGGTGATGACCCTATGCTGTTCATTCCCAAAAGCTCTCTCTCACAACAGGGCCCGAGAGCCCACGGGAAAGGGAGAGAGAGGGAAAGAGCACACAGCAATCCCCCTGGAGCTGTCAGAGTCCAAGTCTGACTGCCAGCGTCTCCGGGAGATGTGCACCTATGAAAAGGGTGGGAAACTGGAAGAAAAGAAAGGAGATTTGTGGGGTCATTTCAGGGTAGAAACCACTGACCCCTCATCTACCAGTCCTGCATTCAAGAAGAAGAAGAACAAGGACCTGTTGGGTCTCAGTAAGAACATCACATTGGTAGTTGGTATCTTCCGGAAAGACATTCGCATGACGATAACCCCCACTCCAGCACCTGCTGTAATGATCTCTACTTCATCTGTCATAGTGTGAGCCAGTGATGCAAGGGTTAATTGTCAACCCCGGATTCTTGGGGAGCGAGAAGGGGAAGCCTCTCACCAGGTTTGAAGCCTTGATAGAGGCCCCAGTGCTGCTGGGAGCTACTATGATGGAAAACCCTTAGAAACCTCTGTGGGTCCAGGCAAGTGAACTAAAATAAATCTGCATCTTCACACCGGTGGTCCCAGGAATACCAAAGACACCTAAAACACCCCACCTCAGAACCTACTGGAAATGACTCTATGCTGCCGGTTTCTCTGTCTTCTCAGTGACAAGGAGATAGGAAGAGCCCAAGAACACCTGTGCGACAAGGAAATAAAGGAAATACCTGCAGCCTGTGGGGGAAGATGCTACTACCACAGCACCTTCATCTTGGAGCCCTGAGTTGAAGGACGCAGAGATCTCACGAACTCCTGAACCCACCTTCCAAACCACAAACTATGGGCTGGTCACCATCGTCTCAAAATACCTTAAAGTCATGGATTTCAAGATGGTGGCGTTTGAGAACATTCCTGTCAAGATGTCCAGTCAGTAACAGTGTGGGCCTCTGCCTTTGTTTAAGGAAACAGCATGGGACTTCAAAACCCCAGATGTCGCTTCCTTTTTCTACAGCCTGAGATAAGGAAGTTTTGTTCCCTTTTCAGAGAACTCTTGGACTTGGCCATGCAGGTGTTCCCAGCCTTTTTAGTCGGTGTGATCTCTGGTGTCACTGTAGCAGAGGAACCCCTCTGTAGACTTAGGGTTTGAAATTTTGAAGGCCCACACTTCCTCCTGAAAACAGCCTGAGCTGCTCCAGTTACTTCTGCTGGCTTCTGTTCCCACCTGTGGTCTGGAGACATTAGCAAGTGTTCTTAAAAGGGATTAAAGTATTTGTTCCGAATAGAGATCTATCGTACTGCAAAGTCCTCGGAAATGAAATGGCATTTGAAGAGAGAGCCCTCTGAAGTCAGCCCTGGCTTTCAGGAGATTATCCCGTGGAGTGTACCTCACCTTCGGAAGCCACCCTTGTGTCTGGAGACAATCAAGAAGGTTTTCTGTTCAGAAAACTCCCTCAAAGCACGAGTACACAGCGAGGCGATCATGTGGATCCCAGTGAGGGGACCCATCTACCCAAATCCTTGGGAGGGAAGTCACAGCTCACGCCACACGTCCTATGTCACTGAGTCTAGAGTAGTTAGAAGAATGTTGAACCAGGGTTCTCCACAGGAGCTCTGCATGCTGGAAAGCGAAGAAATCCACCAGGGCCGGGACTTTCTATGCATGTGCCCTTGCTCTCTGGTGGTGAAGCTCTGGGACACCACACAAGGTGATGGCTACAAGATCTTAGACCGCCTTGCAAACTGAGATGAATAAACTTTTAGACAACTAAAGAAACAGACGAACCAAGAACAAGCGAAGTTCTCCTCTAGACCAGAGACCTCCTGGCTGTTTTTGAGATGGGCTTTCCCCGTGTTTCATTTTTCTTTCATTTGGGTGGTCCCTATGTTTGCCATCCCATGGCTCCGTGTATTCACTCCTGCTTAAACGCCATTCTCCTTCATAGTCCCCTCTTATGTCCTCCTGCACAGAGCCCACGGCACCTCCAGGGATAAAGAGATGCTTGCAAGCCCTGTTAAATCACCTGCTCCCAATTTTCCACTTGGCTATGTGGCTTCCTGATGCATATATCATCATGACAGTTACTGCATTGATACATGAACTAAGAACAGTCCCTCATCTACCACTATTGTGATGCAAACAGATAGATGATAGATAGATAGATAGATAGCAAATAGATAGATAGTGAATAGGTAGGTAGTAAGTAGGTAGATAGATGATAGATAGATAGATAGATAGATAGATAGATAGCAAATAGATAGATAGATAGATAGATAGATAGATAGATAGATAGATGATAGATAGCGATAGCAATGGTACCTCTCTGTCTTTTTTATGAAGTGAGGAAAAACCGGTCTTACAGTTCGTACAATCCTTTGGCTTCCAGATAAAGCCACTCCATTATTATAGTTCAGTCCCGTCTCAAGGACTTTTGAGTCGCACATAAAATCAAGCTGAGGATGGGGTACAGCCTACCTGAGGCATTCATTGGTTGCTTTAGAACACGGTGTCTTCTGCCTGGCCTGTATGAGAACCCAGAAAAAAGATGTGTAGAGAAACCAGAAAAGGAAGCCTCTTTCACACCCCAACAAGGAGGGTAAAATAGGTACTCTAGGCTGGAACTGAAGAGATTAGTCCTGTTCTGGGTATCCAGACACATAGCACGTGTACACACTGGGTTTAGAAGTCAGAGCAGTGTTTGGCAGATACCCTCACAAGTAGGCAAGACCTTAGAGTGTCGTATAATTCAAACGACCCCTCCATTGGAAAAGCCAAGCATCCATCATTCCGTCTCTTGATAAGACATGGCCAGATTTCCCTCGCCTTTGCCACTTTCCACAGTGACATCCATCGATCTACACCTCACATCCTTCGTAAGATGCACAAAGTAGGGGTACATCTTACTTGGCATCCCCCACATTCTGCATTCGAGTCTGTGTAGACATGCGCGTTCCTGGATAATTTGCAAATGCCAGACAGATGAGCTAGCAATGTATTTCAGCCAAAGTCTCAGCCTAGAACCCCGGTGTATATCAGAAACTAGGCAAAATTTACAGATCTCCAACCTCTCATTTCTCGGGAGTTTGTCTGCCCAAATAATTTGTCAGTATAGCTGCCTCCCCTTGAGGGAGGTCGGCCGTCACTCTGGGTAGCCCAAAGGGTTAGCTGTAGTTTCCCGTGACCGTTAATGAACCTGACAGGGCAGGACTGTGGCCACTCGTGCAGCTTCCCAGACTCGTTTCTTCCATCGTCCTTCTCCATACGTCTTCTGCTCCTACGATCACATTTCCAAATGCCTGGATCCCAGAATGAGTCGACTGCTCCTTTGGGCTCTTCATGGAGAATGCGCCTGCTCTCCGTCCTTCTATCCCATGTCATTTTGTCTTTGGTTTTTCGTTTTTGTTTTTTTCCCCCCCTACCATGACAGTGGCCTGTCCCAAACATTGGGCACCACCCTGACTCCCCACCCTTCCCTGGTGTCTCCTTAACACTTGGCATGGTTACACGGCAGGCCGTATTGCACTTCCTTGGTCCTACCTTAAATGTCCTGTCTTTTATCTCCCAAGCTCACTATCTGGATAGGGTAGTTAAAGGTATGGTCTTCCTCTATTTTCCTGTTGTCTTTGTGTCTGTGTTTGTGTGTGAGCGTAAAAGTCACGTGCATATGAGAATGTATAGAACACAACATTGGCATGACAGTGTCTACCTGCTGCCGCATCCCCAGCTTTGTCACAGCAGGAGGGTGGGTTTGGGGATGGAGAATGTCGTTCTTTGCCCCAGTCACATAGAGCTGTCTGTGACATTACCATTGTGTTGCGACCCTTCCATCACCCCTGCACCCCACCCCCAGACCTTCCACCCCGTCCACCCCATCTCATGTCACCCCACCCATTCCTTATGGCCTCTGGCCCATCAGAATCCAGACACTAGGGACCAGCCTGGGTGGCCTGGGAAAGGAAGAGGCTCAGGAGCAAGAGAAAACAATCTCGAGGCCTGCATCCCGTTACTGCTGTGTTCCTTCTCCCAGCAGCCACACGGAGCGCACTCACTGTGTGCTAGGTCCACGTGCCAGGCTCTGGGAATGAGAACTAGATGGCAGTCTGGGGAGAGGGTGGTCTGTTGCTCTCTGCCTGTTTTTCTTTACAGAGAAGGCCTGGCTTTGGTAAGTTTGTTCTACGAAAAGTAGCCCCTAATGGCAGCGTGATTTGTAATTGTCAAAACATTGATATGGCTTAGGTGATGTCTAATTCTCCGCGAAGACATCAGAGCAGTAATAATAAGGCTCGGGTTGAAACTTTTAAAATAACCCAGCACTTCCTAAGGAGAAAACATGACGTCATAGCTTTTAATCCTTGGGTCTAAACACAATGCCTGTGTCCCTTGGTTAGGGACTTGTATTCTGTAATCAGCTGAATCCCAGCTCCCTTCCACACTCCACAGCCAGAGTGACCAGGGGGCAGGTGACTTCCCTGTCACATGGTCATCTATAAGATGAGCACGCTGGAAGGTCTGCCCCACGAGGGCAGCGTGAGGGTGGCATGAAGCAGTGATCACCAAGCACCAGGACCCGGGTAGGGATGCCACTCCGTAGACTCAAGTGGCTGGTGCCATCACTGTGTCCTTATTCTTTCTCTTGACTTGAAGGACTCAGCGAGATTAAAATCCAAAATTGTAATAGAAAGGGGCAAATTGGCTGTTTGTACGAAAGACTAACAACTTTAAAAAAAATCAGGAAAAGGTTTGGGGAACTATATTACTATTCTTATTGTTGCTATGACCGAATGCCTGAGAAGAAGCCACCTAAAGAGAAAGAGTTTATTTCAGCTGACAGTCTGAGGGGATATTGTCCATCATGGTGGAAAATGTGGCAGCAGGAACATAAGCCTGCCAGCCCCATTACCTCAGCAGTCAGGAAGTAGAGAGAAGACAGGAAGTACAGTCTACTCCCAAACCTCAAAGTCAACCCCCAGTGATCCACTTGCCTCCAATAAGGTTCCACCTCCAAAAGGTTCCGCCGCCTTCCCAAACAGCTGGGAAACGTGTTCCAATATGAGTCTATGGGGGACAGTTCACATCCAAACAGGGACCAATAATGGACTAAATGCTTTTCAGCTGGGTCAGCCTTGCCCCTGCAGCAAATGTATTACTAGGACCCAACCGAATAGATAGGAAGCAAGGTTTGTTGACTTTAATACACTGACCTTTGCTGAGAACAAAATCATACCAGCAGGAAATAGACATATCTCAGTGTTCTCCTGGGACAAGCGTTCATTGCAGTCACCATCAGAGTGTAGACTAAATTCATAATGGAATCATTACTCAGTGGACCACTCCCTACCGTGTGGAGTCCTTTGCGCCCATGAGTCTTGAGTCCTCTTAATTTATTTTTCAAAGGAAGCAGATTTAATGCTGCCCATTTGGGTGAAAACGGAAGCTGAAGTTGAGGGAGTTTTAAGTGATTCACCCAGGTTACACGTCTGGGAAGTCATGAAGCCAGAACTTTGGACTTTCTGGTCATATCCAGATTTCCAACATTTTATATTCTATCACCGTAAGTCACCAAGAATGTCTCATAATTCCCAATATCTTACATCTCAATCACATACGCCAACTGTATCCTCCCTGGGAAGTAGTTTTCCTCAAGCCACTTGCTCTGATCTGTAGTTCAGAAAATTCCACCACTAGACCTTTATTGGGCTGAGGTCAGTGAACCAGAACTTCCTTTAAAAGACAAACGCTTCTTGGTAAAATCTGGGTACGTAGCAAACCCCGTAGGGCCAGTGTCCTAGTGCAATGGGCGCTGATTCTCAAACCCAGTTCGGAAGTCTGCACCGGCCTGCTTGAGATTTGTCAAAGCAGAGCGGTGGGGGGTATAGCTCAAAGAAAGCCACTTCTGTTCTCCTCCCACCTGTGTTGGTAGAGCATACGTAAATAATAATCTCTTGTCTGGTCTCATAAGCTGCCAGGAAATGTGGATTCCACACAGTGGCAATGGCCCTCTCTGCAGGGGGTCTATAGTCTCTCAGAGAAGACTCAGAAGCAAATAATCCCAACCAGTGTGATAAGGGCCCTGCTGGTGGCGGTTTGGAGACCTCACCAAAGGAGGCAGGGTGCTTGCAGATTGTGGAATTTGACATGGGCTTTAAGACAGCTGTGAAAAGTTTTTTTTAAAAGTGGGCAGAAGACATTCGTGATTTAGGGGCTCCCATTAGTCCTTTCTGTGGAAAAGGAGTTTGGGGGAGAATATTAGGAGCAAGGAGATCAGTAACATTAATGCTGTCACTGAGGTGAGAAAAGATGTTGATCTTGTGCAGGGAAGTGGGCGCAGAGATGAAGGGGTGCAAAGGACAAAACGCAGTTGGAAGGGCATGCGCTGGGCAGGAAGCAACCCGCTTGCTACTCCGCAAGATTCTGAAAGGTTCCTGGCCACGCCTGATGCTGGCCAGCTGCAAAGGTGATATTGAGATGAAGTGGTCCCTGTCATTTAAAGGGCATCGTTTCTTTTGAAAAACTGAGCCCTCCTCTAAATCTCCAGACTACATTATTTTGGCTCCAGCAAATGCCTGGTGTGAGCCCTTCCATAGGGGACTGTTAATGTCACTCAGGCTCTCTGAATTATTGATGAGTTTCAGGGTTTGTGGAATTAACGAGCTTCTCCCATGGGGAAGGATGGGCATATTGCTTTAAGAAAGTCAGCAAGTCACCCGGGAGGAGGCCTCCCCATGCTGGCTAATGGGGTGGAGGATGGGGGTGATGGGTGCCAGAAACAAGTGAACCTTCTTCACTCCCAAGTACCCTCAGGCTGTTCTGATGCCAACGTACTGCGCAGGTCCTCAGGGTGGAACTTGGGTCGTCTGAAGAAACTGAGAGTGGATAAAGTGGCCCCATATTAAGTGTTTCCCTCCCCTGGGTGCCTCTGAGTAGCACTAAGTGTGTAGAGTAGGCAACCAGAGGAATTCGCAGAAACCTAAGAGGGGTGCCCTGGACAAGACTATCACAGCACATATATGGGGAAAAGAGTTCCAAGTCCAAAACAGAAAATGCTCTGGAAACAAACATGGGGCTTTCTTCAGTGAGGTGCTACCATTCAGTGTGGCTAAGAGCCAAAGTGTTTGCTGAACTCAGTTGACAACAGACACTTCGTCGTCTTTGGTCGGTTTTCATAGTTGTTGGTATTGTTGTTGTCTGCGTCAGGGTGACCTGAAACTCTGTATAGCTGAAGATGACCCTGGGCTCCTGTGTCTCCTGCCTCCACCTCCCAGGAGCTGAGATTCCAGCTATGTGCCACTACACCCAGATTTTACACACACACAGACACACACACACACACACACACCACACAAACATACATTCCTGGGACCCAAACAAGGGCCTCATGCATGCTAGGCAAGCAATCTACCAACTGATCCCCACACCCAGCCCCTATAGCTTCTCTTTAGAGACCCCTTACGACCAGTCTCTCACAGAGTTCCCTATGAGAATGAGTGTTTAAGATCTTATGCCCCACAGATGTGAGTGGCACAAATTTGTTATCTAAGGGCTTTGAAGGCTGAGTTAGGAGGAGGATCACAAGTTCAAGGCCAGCCTGGGCCAAATAGTAAAACCATTTCAAAATAAATAAATAAATTTAAGTTTAAATCCTTCCAGGAAAATACAGGCAAAAGGTGTCTCCCTCCGTCCATCTATTAACACAAAGTCTGGCATCCAGTGGGTGATGTATAAAACATGTTGAGCTTATGAATCGAGTGATGAGATCTGATAGTCTGTCCTTCTTCATTGGTCAGTTTTGCTAGAGGTACCTAATGGATCATTCATGTTATACATCAGGAAACCGAGGCCAAGACAGGGGAGGTAGCTTTCTCAACCCTTACCAGTCAGGAGGAAAGAAGCAGAACCCATTTCTCTCTGATCTGTTGGTTCATTTGAGCAAGTGCGTGGTGAGTGCCTGCCGTGTGAAGGCGCCAGGGGAAGCCCTGAGGCCTTTATGGAGTCTGCATTCTAACAGAGGGAGTGAGACCACTGAACTATTGAGAAATTAACCAATAACCAGAGTGACTGTCATCAGAAGGACAGCCTGCCTTGGAAGCTTGAGGTGATAATAGGATGGACCGGGACTCATGGCACTGCCCGTGTTACACCAATGCCAATTGCATGGCGCGGTGACCCTACAGCTATGTCCCTAGCTGCATGGCGCTCCTTCACTTCAGAGAGGTTGGTATTTGTGAGACCTAAACAGTGGCACAGTTTGAGCAGCAGAGGGTTACTTTCCAGCGAGTGCAGTTCTTAGTAAAGTTACACACAGCTAAAATCCAATCCAGTATTAGTGGTCCTTACATGGTAAATGCCCCTTGTACAGTCAGCTCTCATGCTTACTGGGCTGAGTAACCGGCATAAGCCATGCCATTTAATCCGCTCAGTGCCTCTTTCACACCTACAGATGCAAACACTGAAGTTCAGAGTTAACGTCCAATGACCGTGCTAAGATCTGAGTTGATGCCGGGCGGTGGTGGCGCACGCCTTTAAACCCGGCACTCAGGAGGCAAGGACAGGCAGATCTCTGTGAGTTCGGGGCCAGCCTGGTCTACAGAGCAAGTTCTAGAACAGGATCCAAAGGTACACAGAGAAACCCCGCCAAAAGAGGGGAAAAAAAGATCTGAGTTGAAGTTCGCCAAACTTCAGTGTACCCATAACTATAAAACATATTTTGTTTTTTTAATTAAAAACTTGAGACTAATGGTGTGAAATTGGAACTTCTCTGAAAATCTGGAAAATTATTTTTTAAAACATGTGTGTGTTCTCATACACACACAGCCAGGTTTTGTGGATGAATGTGGGTGCAAGCTACAGCACGCTTGCAAAGGCCGGAGGATAGCCTGAGGTGTTGGTCCTCACCATCCGTCTTATTTGGAACAGAGTCTCTTGTTCATCACGGTACGCACCAAGCTAGCTGGCCCTTGAGAACCTGGGGATTCTCCTGTCTCAACCGCCCAGCTCTAAGTAGATACAATGAGATTACCGTATCTGTCTCGGTGTGGATTCTAGGGATCCAAACTCAGGACCTCACATCTACACAGCAAGTGTTTTACACACTGAGCCATTTCTCTAGCCCCCAAAGTCTCCCCTTTGAGGAATAATCTGTGCAAAACACCTAGCCCAGGGGCCAGGCATGGCAGCCCCCGAGTACATGGCAGCTGTCACTGTCCTCGCTGTCCTGAGGCATCTACCAGAATACATAGTCCACAGACCAAGTCTACCTCGTCACAGATTTTTGTTAATCAAGTTTATTAGAACACGTTGTGCTCATGACTCACGGATAGCCTGTGCCTGCTTTGGGACTACAGTGCCATTACCAAGTGATTATAACAGATACCTTATTATGTTGAGCCCTCCTAATTCCCCTATGTTATAATTAAGAATATTGGGGTTCAAAAAAATTTAATAACATGGCCAGGTCCCCTGGCCACAGAGTCATAGAGCTGGCCTTTGGTGTGGCTTCTAAGCTCATGCTCACAAAAGGTCCTTTCTGCATCTTATGAGATGCTGTATCACAGCAAAATAAAAGAGTATCCTAATATTTTTAAAGCTTTCACCTCCTTCCTCTAAGATTAACCCCAGGAGGAGTAGTTTAATTAAAAGCAGTCCCTGGGTAGACGGACGAAAACTTGAGACGAACTGAAAGACAGGAGAGGCTCTGCTTGCTGAGATCACTCTGGGTGACTGATCATGGTGGCTTAGTCAGAACACAGACCAGTCACCCGCATACCACCCACCACTCTGGGTGACTGATCATGGTGGCTTAGTCAGAACACAGACCAGTCACCCGCATACCACCCACTGCTCTTGGCGCCCAGGTTTACAACTTTTCTTCTTGGTCAGTTTTGAGGCTAGCCTCCCACACGCTCTACGTCCTCTACTAAGCCTTCTTGTGATCCCCACTGCATTCCCCACATGCAACCAGTGTTTCTTCCTTGCGTGGAAAGGACGTGGTTGCATTGACTGGTTGGTGTCTGCATCGACCTCTCAAGAGGAAGTGAACTTCCGGTTTTTGTTGGAATCAGAGTCAACTATCCAAAGCCCTTGAGCCATAATGGTATTTAATCTTTGCATGCTAGTTTTAATATGCATTTTTACGTCCTTGAAACACTAGTCTCAGGTTCTGATCTATCAGCTGCTCTTTGAGTGTTTATATGTGCCAGGTTCGTTGTCCTTTAAAAACAATGAGTCACGGAGCCCAGCGGACAGAGTGCTCACTCAGCGTTCGTGAAACCTGGGGTTTAATCGCCACCGCCGCATGCATGAGCAGACGTGGTGGTGCACACCTGTGATCCCAGCACTTGGGAGGCAGAATCAGGATGGTCACAAGTTCAGGGCCATCTGCAACTGCATAGCAAGTGTGAAGTCAGTGTGGGCTACGTGGGACCCTGTCTCAAAAAGAAAGAAGGAAGGGAGGAAGGAAAGGAGGGAGGGAGGAAGGGAGGAAAAAAAGAGAAAGAAAGAGAAAAAATGAAAACAACAACCAATAGTGGTAATAGGTTCATGAAAATAAGGACTCAAGAGAAAGAATAGAAATGAAAAGAATTCGGATGAAAGAATAGGAACTAAAGTGAGCCATGAAACCTAATGTTTTCTTAAACATGAGTCTCTTCCTTTTTGAAATGTGTGTGTGTCTCTCTCACACCACAAAATCCTGTGGGACTCAACTCGTACATAACATGACGCAGGTGCGGAGGCCAGAGGACAATCTTTAGGAATCAGTTTTCTCTTTCTACACTAGGTTCCTAGACTCAAACTCAGGTCATCGGTCTTGCACGTCAATAGCTTTTACCTTCTGAGCCACAAACCAGGCTTGAAAGGGCAGTAATCAAAATCCTGTAAGCCTACTTGACTGTTACTAAAAGTCCCCACCTCATCATGGAGTCAGAGCAGAAGAAATGGGCTCCAAGCAGTGTCCTGTTCTTTTTATTAGGTCACCCACGTCTTCTCAGATGGCCATAGCTGTTCCTAGTTCCCGCTGTATAGTTCAGGTCTCCGTCTAGGCACTTTGGTAGGATGCCTGCTTCTCAAGAATACAACTAGGTAGTTTTCATCTCTGTGCCTGTAGCTAGCCCAAATAAGATGCTTAACAAGGGACAGGTGTGTAAATACACAGCTGAGCAGCTAGCACTGCTTGGCTCTTCCTTTGTACTTGAGACCAGCAGGAGTTCGTCTATGTCGTGACAGTCTCCTGGGCTCCCCTGGTATAAAGCCCTTTCCAAAGCATAGCATAAACACAATGGTAATAGAAAGACCCAAGCCCTCATTCTCGAAGCAAATACTGTTGTCTAGGAGAAAAGGAGAGCCAATATGAAAAGCCTAAGCCCACTGAAGTTGACCTAGTTACAAGAACTAGGGGGGGAAAGCACATCTCTAGGCCAAGTGTTACAGAACACCTTCAATCCCAGCACCCAGGAGGCAGAGGCAGGGGAATCTCTGTGAGTTAAAGGCCAAGAGACAAGACAACCAAGCCCAGGATTGAGGATGGGTGGAAGACCTCCCTAGTCAGGCTCTGGCAGGCTTGATTAACTGACTGCAGCTCCAAATCCTGATCACTTGTGTAATGGGGGGAGGTGGAGATGCTGAGGGTTCCAGACCCCTCCATAAGAGTCCTTACTTCTCCGAGTCTCTGCTGTCTTCTCTGTAAAGTGGAGAGTCATTGTGGTACCTGCCTCCGCGGCTGCTGAGACGGACGGACGTGAAAGCATCGTATAGGCAGCTGGTATAGCATGAGTGCAGAGTGCAGGGGTAACAGTTGCGATGGGGCCCCAGCCCTTGACTCCCTGCTTTGTCTTACAGAGGGCTGTCCTGGCTTGTGCAATGGAAATGGCAGATGTACCCTGGACCTGAATGGGTGGCACTGTGTGTGCCAGCTGGGCTGGAGAGGAGCCGGATGTGACACGTCCATGGAAACCGCCTGTGGGGACAGCAAAGACAACGATGGAGGTAGGGATCAGGCGTCCGTAAACCCCAGCCCGTTCCAGAGGTAGGAGACAGAGAGACAAGAGGGGACACTGCTGGGTTAGCAGGGAACCAGCATCCTAATACACAGTGAGGGACTTCGGGACACAGAAGACTGTGCGGGTGGCCTGAGGAATGGATTCTATTGTTAGCATAGTTTGACTCATTTTAATGAGTGACTATAAATGAAATTAGTTGGCATCTATTGGCCAATGGAAAGAAGGCAAGGAGAAGCATCCTCGGTTATCCCTGTGGTGGAATCGTTACCTGGTCTGGGTTTGCAGAAGCAGCCCTCTTTTGTATCCCGGAAACTGTGAAGGATGTTCCTCCAGGGAAGGAGGTTCACTCACCTGGATTAAGGTGTCGCCTCTGATTCTGAAGGTAACCCTCTCAGGAACATCAAGGCACACTTTCCCTTCACACTCTCTCATCCATATAGGTTTGTAATAACGTCTGCCTTTGCTTTTTTTCCCAAGTGTTGGACAGCCAAAACCCAAAGGAAGAGGGGTTAGCCTTATAGAATATTAACTCAGGGTGAAAACCCATTTTAATTAAAACTTGCATCTTAACCCCACCTGGGTACTAGGTGTCTCTGAACCTTACTCTCCCCAAATATAAAATGAGGCTGTTAACAGAGGCTACTCGTTTGTTTCCAGCTGCTCAGACCCAAAATAATTACACAAAACTGTATTAATTAAAACATTGCTTGGCCAACCACTTAAGCATGTTGCTAGCTAGCTTTTATATCTTGTTAACCAATCCATTTCTATTATTTTATATTTTACCATGAGGCTCGTGGTTTACAAGTAAAGTTTCGGGGCACATCTGTCTTCTCTGGTAGCTACATGGCATGTCACTGACTCCGCCTTCTTTCTCCCAGCATTCAATTTGAGTTTCCCACCTAGCTCTGCTCTGCCCTATCACAGGCCAAAGCAGCTTCTTTACTCATTAACTAATAAAAGCAACACATAGACAGAAGGACTTCCCACACCATGAGGCAGTTTGCCCATCAAGGTTATTCAAGTCTTTATATTAGCCATAAAATTAGCTTCCATTTCTCTATGGTGTAAACTTGCATAATATTCTCCATAATATACTCCACATTCCCACGTGGTAGAACCTGCTTCTACCAGGGAGTTACTGGAAAAATAAAGAAGACAGACACAAAAACAACAACAAAAAAAATTTCTCTTTCTAATGCTGGCAGCTGACACACTTAGGCAGCTCTCTTTGATTTAAACTGAGAGACTTCCCTGTGTTCTGCACAATGTTAGAAACTGGAGAACTAGAAACTTGGCGTCTTCCCTTCTGGAAATTTCCTGTCTACAGCGTTCTACAATCTCAAACTCCATGAGGATCAAAAGGCCAAGTGTGTAATATTGTGGTCATTCTAATTCAACTGGTAGGTTGGCTCTGGAATCCTAGAAATGTTGTTTTAGAGCCTTGATGTTTGTCTGGACTGTCTTTCCCTTGCCCACATCCAGACAGCAGTCATTCAGATAACCTCAGATGACAGCTATGAGAAGAATTAAAAGCAAGGTGCCCATAGGGTTTGGGCCTTGATGGCTTTTGAGCAGAGATGTGTGCCTGCCTAGAATCCCATCATGTTGCTATGTCCCTTAATCTAGCTGAAACATGGGGAGATCATCATTATTCAGTTGCCCAAGCATGTAGCATCTCTTTTGGAGGACCGTGTCTTACAGGAGGCGTGGAGATGCGAAAGTCCTGTCCATCCTCCAGGAACTCAGAGGAAGGAGGAAGCACCAAGGTTGAGTGTTCATGGATTGTTCTAAGTGAAATTGCAGGGTTATATATTAGTTGTGGGACTGGGAAAACATTTATCAGGAAGGTGATATCAGAGCAGGAAGGAGTTTTATGTGGGGGGAGGGGTGTTTTGTTCTCAAGAGATCACACAGAGAAAGGCAGGGCAAAGTGAGGAAGGGTAACGAGCCTCCTTGTCTTCAAGTAAGAGAAAGAGCATTCTGACTCTGTCTGTGGGAAAGAGATCAGCTTCTGTTGTCTGTACGATGCCCTCAGTATCCTGCTGCATCTTGCCTGTGTGGCTGCAAGGCCAGTGATAAACAATAACATTCATGGAAAATTAGGAAAAAGGAGAGAAGCCATACTGGGAAATCATTCCCTCTCCCAGAGTCCAGGATCTTGGCCCAAGCTTTCACACAGCTGTGGAACAGCTAGACAGCTAAGGAACTAAGGGTCTTTGCGATGTTCAGAAAACATATAGTCCCCCTACACACATACACACACACACACACACACACACACATATACAAGAACACCAGAGTAGACACCCTGGTTGCCATGCTTCAGAGACAGCCAACACTGAAATGCCCAGTTTTCCCAGAGGACCTGTGCCCACAGTAGCCCCGAACCCCATGTTATAGGAAACAATCCAGACCCTAGGGAAATGGAGCCTTCTCCAGTTGCTCTGAGCAATGAGCCAGCACAAAGCAAAAAGAACAACCAGAAAATCCCCAGTTGCGGGAGAGCATACCTCATACATTGTTTGAAGCATATTATAGAGCAGAATGAGTTTGTACATCCTCCGCGGCACACAGAAGCTGCACTGTGAGGGCCTTCATTTGCTCCATGAATGTTCGCTGAGCATCTGCACTCCCAGGGCTTCAGAAGTAAAACCGAGAGTCTCTGCCCTTGCAATGTGTCAGATTCAGAGAGAGGAAATGGAGGTAGCCGTAAGACCATGGGGTCCTGCTGTCCCAGAAAAGCATCCAGCCATTCAGCTGGTATTATCAACCACCTCAGAGGGAAGTGAGCCATGGCTTCCCCAGGAAGATCTCCATCACAACTGGAAATTCAACCATCTCGGGAGGACAAGCCTTGGGCATTTGATTCTCCACTGTGAAGCAAGGAGATGCCTCGCTTCGGTAGACTGGCCTTTCTATCCATTGAGAGAGTCCGGAGGAAGCCCCAGAAGGTCCCGGATTTGTAAGATGGCATGGATGAAATAAACTACAGATTCCAAAGGGACAGACATTACCCTCACTGGCTTTCTGTCTCTTGGCCTTGCACAAGCAGAGATAGTCTGGTAGAAGGAAAGGCAGGGTCACCATGCAGGGAGCACACACGTAGGCCATATCTAGCAATCCACAATTTTCCCTTCCGTGGAGCATCCGTGTCTTGGGTCTTGCCGTTGGCAAGGCAGCACACTCTTTTCTTTTAAATTTATTTATTTATTAAAAATTTCCACCTCCTCCCATCCTCCCATTTCCCTCCCACTCCCCCCACTCTTCCTCCCCCTCCCTCTCCAGTCCTAAGAGAAGTCAGGGTGCCCTGCCCTGTGGGAAGTCCAAGGCCCTCCCCCCTCCATCCAGGTCTAGGAAGGTGAGCAGCCAAACAGACTAGCCTCCCAGAAAGCTAGTATATGCAGTAGAATCAAAACCCAGTGTCATTATCATTGGCTTCTCAGTCCGCCCTCATTGTCAGCCACATTCAGAGAGTCCAGTTAGATCACATGCTCCATCAGTCCCAGTCCAGCTGGCCTTGGTGAGCTCCCATTAGATCAGTCACATCGTCTCAGTGGGTGGACGCACCTCTCGCGGTCCTGACTTCCTTGCTCATGTTCTCCCTCCTTCTGCTCTTCATCTGGGCCTTGGGCGCTCAGTACAGCAGCACACTCTTTTCTGAGAGGATCTAAGGACCAGTGAGCATGGCCCGGTCTCCCTCAGGAAGCTCACAGTCATGCGGAAGAAAACTGTCATCTAAATGACTGAACCTCATGGAAGCAGAATGAGAGGAGCACCTCCATGCCAGCCCAGACAGGGGACACAGCGCAAGGCCAGAAAGCAATTCAGGGTCGAGAGAAAGTGCAAGGGGCTCCCTGAGTGGCCAAAATGACTTGGGGGCTTGGAGGAGATTAGCAGAGTTTAATGTTGAGTAGCAGGGCTAGAAGGAATTCCATGTCCTTCCTTCTCCTCCCCTGCATAATGTAGACAAGGAAACAGGAAACCAGAGGGGGGGGGGGGGGTGACATCATGCGTCTCCCGGTCAAACAGACAGCCAATAGCTGGGCCCAGACTAGGACTCCAGGCTCCAGCTGAGATGCCCCATGTAGCCTTGTGCATCTAGAGCATGCCTCCTCCTCTTAGAGACTTTCGTCCTCCTTGAAATGTGGGGAGTGTCTACCCAGGCCTGAAGACGCTTTGAAATATATGCCACGGAGCCTTCTAGAGCATGAGAGAACTCCAATATACAATTGATTTCCATCGGAACGCTACTCCCTGTGAAGTTTTAGACTACCTTTTTCACAGAAAGGTTTAGTATATTTTGTATATATTGGCGGATTTTGACTGTTTTTTTTTATTTTTTATTAAAATCCATATTCCAAGCTGGGTGTGGTGATTCCCACCAATAATTCTAAGACTTGGGAGACCCTGGCAAGAGGATCAAAAGCTCATGGGTTACCCAGTAAGATCTGGTCTTAAAAAAAAATCTATCCCAAACATTGCATATTCATAGAATAAAAGGTCCACCTCTGCCTGGTTTTCAAAGCTCCTCCAACAAACCTGTAGGTGGTAGAGAGATTTACATACAAGGACACGGAGTCTCAGAGAACTGGAAGAAGTTACCCAGCCGCACACAGTGGATCAGCGGGAGAGCTAGACTAGACAGGAGCCCTGTCTGTAAAGAAGATGCTGGAACAAAAACTCCACTGGAATTTAAACAGCCAGATCCCTTTAGATGACACTTTTCAAAGCAGCTTCAAGGTATCAAAACGTCTTCCATGGCCCCACGAAAGACAACTGCGGATGGCAATACCCCAATTGACAGACACAGCCCAGAAGGAGAAATTTCAAAAGAACTGCAAACAAAGAAAGCTCCCTGTCCTTCCACCACCTGCTCCACCCTTCTCCCACTGTGGGCATGGGACGCTCACACAAAGCCCTAGAATCTGGTCACCCTCCAGACGGTCTCTAAACCACATTTCTCGTGATAAGAGACAAGAGAGG